GCCTGCCTGCCCTCTGCTTCACCCCCATCAGTGGACGTGGTGGAGATCGGGGAGAAGCAGGCAGCGCTGGGTGAGGTGTATGCAGTGAAGCCGCTGGCAGTGCTGGCCATGATTGACGACGGCGAGCTGGACTGGAAGGTCATCTGCATCCGCGCTGATGACCCCAAGGCGGACCTTGTTAATGACGTGGACGACGTGGAGAAGGAGTTCCCCGTGAGTAGAGTGTCTATTTGAGTCCCATCTCTGTGTCTGCTCCTCTGCCAGTAGTGCCGTGCCGCTGGCTGGACTGGAAGGTCATCTGCATCCGCGCTGATGACCCCAAGGCGGACCTTGTTAATGACGTGGACGACGTGGAGAAGGAGTTCCTCGTGAGTGCCTGGCATTAGTGTCACTCCCACTGCTGTCCGACCATACTGCTGTCCGACCACCATGTCACTCCCCCTCCCTTCCCCCCACGTCACTCCCCTTCCCTTCCCCCTACGTCACTCCCCCTCCCTTCCCCCCACGTCACTCCCCCTTCCTTCCCCCTACGCCACCACCAGGGCATGGCGCCGGCGGTCCGTGATTGGTTCAGAGACTACAAGTCACTTGAATCACCCCCTTTCCTCCTTTCACACACACACACACACACACACACACACACACACACACACACACACACACCACCCCCCATCCGTCCATCTCTCTCCCCAGGGCAGGATTGGTTCAGAGACTACAAGCTGATTCAATCACTCCCCTCCCTCCTTTCACACACACACACCAACCCCGTCTCTCACCAGGCGCGCTGATGGCGGTGCGGGGTTGGTTCAGACACTACAAGCTGCTTCAATCACTCCTCTCTCACCTCACACACATACATTCCCCCCTCCGTCCATCTCTCTCCCCAGGGCATGCTGACGGCGGTGCGGGATTGGTTCAGAGTCTACAAGCTGCTGGACTCACTCCCCTCTCCCCTCACACACACATCACCCCCCATCCGTCCCCCTCTCTCCCCAGGGCACGCTAACGGTGGTGCGGGATTGGTTCAGAGACTACAAGCCACCTGACTCACTCCCCTCTCTCCCATGTCTCCCCTCACACTCCACCCCCATCCTTCTTTAACCTTTTCCAGGGCACGCTGACGGCGGTGCGGGATTGGTTCAGAGACTACAAGATCCCGGACGGCAAGCCGCCCAACAAGTTCGGCCTGGACAACAAGCCGGCGGACAAGGCCACGGCGCTGCGCGTGATTCAAGAGACCAACGAGTTCTGGGCCAAGCTTGTCAAACGGGCCACTCCCAGGAATGGCCTCTCGCTGGTGTAAAAACAATTTTAAGCAAATGGAGTTATGGGATAAACGTAGTAACTGTACTACACTAATGCATTATCTTGATCGTTGAGCGTGGCGTAGCATCTAGGAACTGGTTGTGCTTGCAGCAATCAATTGAAGATCAAATGATTACACCCGAGCAGTACCAAGAGCATCACTCACTACTGAATTGCAGGCTCGGGAAAAGAAGGGCTTCTTCTTAAGCTTGTTGGGCCTATTAACTTGTTGGGCTCGGGAAAAGAAGGGCCTCTTGAAAGCACTTAGGATCGTTTTCAAGACTTAAAGAGAAGAGTAGTGATGTATTAGCGGAAGTATATTAGTGAGTTGATTCAACCGTTTTGCACTGGTACCGTATTCTCCCGGATAAAACAGCCCCCAGTAATTGTACACCCCCGGGTAGCTAATACGGGGTGGGTGTTATATCCGACCCCGTTTGTACTATACCCACCCTTTTGGGGTACTATACCCGGGTAGCCAATTCAGCTTAAGATGTATTAACTTGTTGGGCTCGGGAAAAGAAGGGCCTCTTGAAAGCACTTAGGATCGTTTTCAAGACTTAAAGAGAAGAGTAGTGATGTATTAGCGGAAGTATATTAGTGAGCTGATTCAACCGTTTTGCACTGGTACCGTATTCTCCCGGATAAAACAGCCCCCAGTAATTGTACACCCCCGGGTAGCTAATACGGGGTGGGTGTTATATCCGACCCCGTTTGTACTATACCCACCCTTTTGGGGTGATTTTCTATAACACCCCCATTTTCTTATAGATTCCTATTATAGCTGTTATCGAGTCCGGTTCCTTACGGGAAGATATCGCCAGAATTGCTCCCTAGGTGAAATTTTGCGTGTACTTTCACTTCAAATCTGCCAAGATTTCCCCCCTCCTACTATCTCGCTGTCGCCACGCTAGCGAATCTTCCGCTGCAAGTGGCCCCATGTGCTGGCAACGCACCGACACGAAATCGGGAATCAGGGGTTTCGTTACGGTACAGAACGGTTTACGGTAAACTTTTGAGCAAATGGTATCCAAAGGTCCCCATCCCACTCCCACATTCGTGGAATGCTGGAGCAAGGCTTCAGCGCGCCAATGCGGATCTCTCTGCTGATTACAGATCAGAAATTGAACAGCCTAGATCGTGCCACATCATTTTCATACCCCACCCAACCCACCTCACTTACACGTGACCAAACCAGTCAAGAAGTGACTGGTACAGTAAGAACGCACCACCGTGCGCGATTCTGCCCGGCCCATGTCGATGGCATTCTGGACTGGCTAGTGTGAATGGCGTGTGACTCGGCAGATTGTTGCAGCAGCAGCAGCGCGCGATTGTTGTGTATGTACAGTACCTGGCACTGTGAGACCTACCTTGCTTGCAAGTGGCAACTGGCCGAGCGGCTGCAAAGATGAGCTGGCAGTAGGCACGAACTGTTACTTGGTGGCGCGCCTGGCAGTACCTTCAACCTACGAAACAGTGACGACATCACACGTTTGAGCGCAGAGAACACCCGATTTCAGTACCAAAAAGTGCGATATTTTCCCGTGGGGAGATATCCCCCCCCCCCCCCTCCCCCCCCCCCCTCCCCCCGATTGTCTGTAAAGTTTTCCGATTCGTTGAGCGATTCACTAGAAAAAAAGTATTTTGGCCCTTTTCTATTTCACACTTCAACGGTTACCCCAATCACGCAACAATCTAAATTGCGTGTCTTTGTCGCCGATAGGGTGTATTTGGTATCCCCAGCTGGTGAAGTGTACTTTGCTCGCGTGGTAGCACTCTCTGCCAATTCGAAGGTGGGTAGATCGGGAAGAAATTTCTAAGAAACTTCGCCCCGATATTCTCGGGGACGACAAATTGTATACTCTATAGAGTCAGACTCCAGAAACGGCTACGTCTGAAGCCTATTACATGGAATCAAGGGCCCAAAAACAATAAGTATGAGGCACTCAGTGATGAAAAATGTACTCTGGAAATAAGTGCAAGGTCTGATTCGTCAGACTAATAAGACTAAATAGTCTGATAGCGTCAGCCCCACGCAATTGGCTTTGTTTTCACCCTATCAAGTGCCAAAATTGCCCACTTGAATATGCCACGTGGCAGATTCCAGTGGGCGGTCACATTATCCTCGTATACTCGGTTTTGCGGCACTGGTCAACAATCTTGAAGTGAAGTCAGACACCTGATTTTGTTTCACATCTTTTCTACTTGATAAAAAATAAACCATATAATAAGACCCAGGTATTATGTAAGACTTTCCTTTGAGGAGACCCCCCCCCAGGCCCTACGAAGTCAGACTTTTTTCTCTGATTTGCACTAAAAACTCTGATATTTCAGACTTTTTTTCCAGTGTACTCTGTTAAAATCAGACTTTTTTGGGCCCAAACTCTGTAATTTTCAGACTTTTTTTAAGGCTAACTCTGAGAGTTCAGAGTTTTCTGAGAGTGTACTCTGATCATTCAGAGTACAAACGCGTCCTTGACTGGTGATTTGGACTTACGGGTCACAACAGATTCGCAATGTCGACGCAAAATCGCCTTGACACAGCAAATCCGAGCCTTACAGCACAAGATTTTCGCCCAATCATAGCAAAATCGCCCTGACACAACAGATTTGCGCTGTCAGAGCACAACACTTTTCGACCAATCACAGAAAACTCGCCATGACATTGCAGATTCGCTCTTTCGCACCACAAGATTCGCCCTGACACGTATATTCGCCCTGTCAGAGCATGTTTTATCAGAAATCCCCTTAGTGTTGTGTGTTTCGATAGCAGATGAATGAAACATTGATTACATTCCGATGAAACATTGAATACATTGTTTTTGAATGATCAGACATTTTTTTTAGGACACTCTGAAATTTCAGCCTTTTTTTTATACCAACTCTGAGATTTTCAGACTAAAATTGTGTACTAGTCTGACGAATCAGACAGGTCAAAAACGAATCTGAGGGCCTGCCTCCCCCCCCCCCATTTTTTCCCAGTGGTTTTCATAATACCCTAGGGTGTTTTATCCGGGAGAATACGGTATGTGAGAACAAGATAAGTGGATAATAACAAAGAGATACCGGTACAAGCTTTTACCGTATATGATTACAAGGAATACGAAAGGTTAAACTAAATGTAACTGCTGTTGCGGTTCGATATAGCGGCGACTCGGGTAACTGCTCAATATCGAGTCAGATATGTGTTCTTGCGGTCGCACTGCCTTCGGCGAGTCAAAGGTCGCTGACCTTAGACCTTCACTCAACTTCTTGCTGTTGTCTTTCTGTCAACCGCTTTGGTTGACTCGATTTTGCTTCACTTAAGTTTCCTTCGCTTTCATTGTAGTGCTCGACACATCAGTTTGCTTCGCTTTCATTGTAGTGCTCGACACATCAGAAGCGCAAACTAAATGTTTCCAACAAAGCTTGTGTAACTGTACACCCCCGACCCACCCTAACAGCACCTACCAGTCAAACATGGAAGTATATCCAGGCTACGGTAATTTTATATTTATCTATAGTTTTGCACACTAAGCAATTCACTTAGGATTTCTGTCTGCATCTCCTTGGCAGCTGAACACTCAACCCAACCCAATTCCCCAACGGTTCAGCCAACTCTGTCCCCTCCCAAGCACAATGTTCCCTGTGCAAACTCTGACAATCCCAAAACTTTCTCTCCGGTATTTGGTGCATCTCAAAAGATTTGTGATGAGTCAATTGCCTTCCTCTCCTCCCTGCGAGCTGAGATCCCTCGCGAGTGCAAGCAGGCCGGCAGCAGCGAAGGCAGAGAGAAGGCATGAGCCGTAGCCCATGGCAAGGAGGGCACCGCGCAGAGACTGGTGGGGCGAGGCGTGGTAGGTGGGGAGGAGAGAGAGGAAGGCGGGGGACATAAGGTTGCGGGAGAGTGTTGAAGGCGAAGGCATGAGCCGTAGCCCATGGCAAGGAGGGCACCACGCAGAGACTGGTGGTGAGACCAGGGAGGGGAGGGGAAGAGGGGGGGGGGGGGGGAGGGGGAGATGGGGGGGGGGAGGGGGAGATGGGGGGTGGGAGTGATGAAGGCAGAGAGGGAGGCTGGAGCCATCGCCCACGGCGAGCAGCGCGAGTGTGAGGGCCTTGTCATTGGCAGGAGCACGAGAGTGAGCGCGAGTGTGAGCGCCTTGTCATTGGCACATGCCAGGGAGCTCTTGCTGACTGCCTGCCATTCACCACCTCTCACACACTGCACCCACCAGGGAGAGTGCGGTTTCTGAGACGACTCACGAATCATCCCCAGCTCACTCACGAGTGCATTGGCAGATTCGTGAGTACAAGGGCGTTGTATTTGGCCGTACAACGCCCTCGTACTGCCAATGCCAGAGAGGGCATGTGCCAGAGAGGGCAAATGCCAGAGAGGGCATATGCCAGAGAGGGCAAATGCCAGAGAGGGCAAATGCCAGAGAGGGCATATGCCAGAGAGGGCATATGCCAGAGAGGGCACATGCCAGAGAGGGCATATGCCAGAGAGGGCATGTGCCAGAGAGGGCAAATGCCAGAGAGGGCAAATGCCAGAGAGGGCAAATGCCAGAGAGGGCAAATGCCAGAGAGGGCAAATTCCAGAGAAGGCATATGCCAGAGAGGGCATATGCCAGAGAGGGCAAATGCCAGAGAGGGCATATGCCAGAGAGCTTTTGTAGACTGCCTGTAGCCCTGACACCAGCTGCCAGCTCACCGCCAGTCACTGGGTGAACTGCCTTGAACCTACCAAACAGGTGCGCTGCACTCACGAGTGCGAGTGTGAGAGCCTTGTCGTTGGCATAGGCGAGCGAGCTCTCGTCCACTGCCTGTAGCCCTGACACTAGCTGCCAGCTCACCACTCTGTGCGGGGGATAAGGGAGATGGGGGGTGGGGTAGAGGCGGAGATGTGAGAGGCGCGAATTGGGGGGTATGGCGAATAAAAATGAGGAAAGAAGGAGGGAAATCATGAGAGGATGGGGTAGGAGCTGTCGAAAGGGAAAAGGTGGGCTGGGGAGGCCTTATTTCCATCAACTCTTGTTGTTTAGGACAGAGAAACAAACTCCATGAAATGATGGCGGAGATGTGAGAGGCTTGAATTGGGGGGCATGGCGAATAAAAATGTGGAAAGAAGTAGGAAAATCATGAGAGGATGGGGTACTAGCGTGGAGAGAGGGTGCGTTTTGTGAGAGAGAAACACTTGTGATTCAAGGAAAAGACTGGTAACGACATAAAAGTTCATGCGAAAGGTCGTGCGAGAAAAGAGGCCGGGAGACTCACGAAAAGGCAACAGCAACAGCCGCGCCTGTGAGCGCCTTGGATGGTGTGACGTCCACTGTGAGGGGACCGAGCTGGTGAGAGGAAAAGAGGGAGGGAGGGTGGGGGAAGGGCAGAAAGAGTATAGAGCAGCAGCAGCAGCAGCAGCAGCAGCAGCAGCAGCAGCAGCAGCAGCAACAGCAACAGCAACAGTCGCGAGTGTGAGGGCCTTGGATGGAGTGACGTCCACTGTGAGAGGACCGAGCTGGTGAGAGGAAGAGAGGAAGAGAGGAGGGAGGGTGGGGAGGAAGGGAACAGATTGATATACAGGGTGCTTGAGGTTCCAAGGCAGCAGCAACGGCAGCAGCAACGGCAGCAGCAGCGGCAGCAGCAACGGCAGCAGCAACGGCAGCAGCAGCGGCAGCAGCAGCGGCAGCAGCAGCGGCTGTAAGTGCCTTGGATGGCGTGACATTCCTTGGATGGCGTGACATTCCTTGGATGGCGTGACATTCCTTAGATGGCGTGACATTCCTTAGATGGCGTGACATTCACTGTGAGGGGACCGAGCTGGTGAGCGGGCGAGGGAGAGGAAGGGAGGAAGGAGGGAGGGGAGGGGTTGCGACACTCTTTTTTGCACTTAGCAACGCACCTGAAATGTTTAACGAGTTCAGTCGTTTAGCACTAAGCAGCAGAACGCCCACCTTGAAGGTCTTAACAGGGTCGAAATTGGAGGCACCGTCATCAGTGCACCCCGCTGCCACTGCCTCCCCTGCTGCTGCCATTGCCTTGCCGAGCTATTTCAAGGGGAGGGGATTAAAAAAAAAAAAAGCAGATGGGGGAATTTTAGACGCCTCTGAAGTTGAGAATGGGGGACAAGTTTGTCAACCAAAGGGAATGATGGTTGAAGAAAGGCAAACGGAACGGGATAAGTTCAATTGGGGGACGGAAGGAAGGATTGGAGGGGAAACGGGAGAGAAGGTGAGCTTAGGGAGGGAAAATGGCAGACCTGGATGATCCTTTCCCTTGTGCGTACACACCCCCATTCCTATGACCCTTGTGTTCGCTGCCGTTTTCACTGACTCAAAGGTCCCATCTTGCCTCAAAGGCCCCTTCTCGCCTCACCTGAGCAGCCTTGCCCTGGGCGTACGCCCCCATGCCTGTGACCCTCCTGCCTGCTGTGCTTCCCTGAATCAACGCCCCCCTCTCTCTCTTCTCGCTCCTCTCTCCCCTCACTGGTCCCCTCATCGCCTCACCTGAGCAGCCTTGCCCTGGGCGTACGCCCCCATGCCTGTGACCCTCCTGCCTGCTGCTCGCAACCTCCTGCCAAGCACTGTGAGGAGCGATGGTGCAAAGAAGGGAGACAGAGGTATATGAAAGAGATTTCGGATGACAGAGGTGATTTTCTTACAATTAGCTTGAAACCACTTGTGAAAAGTCCCAAAAGTGATTATCTTACTCTTAGCTTGGATACTCGCTGTTTGGATACTATAAGCTTGGATACTATTTGTTTGGATACTAATAGCTTGGATACTAATTGTTTGGATACGATTAGCTTGGATACTAATTGTTTGGATACTATTAGCTTGGATACTAATTGTTTGGATACTATTTTCTTGAATAGTATCCAGCGACCCCTCTGACCATCAACTCCCTCCGCTTCTCTCCATTTTTCCCTCCCCATCCCCATCCCCTGCCCCTGCCCCTGCCCATACCTCTAGCCCTCCCTAATCCTCCCTTCTGACCCTTCCAAAATCCTCCCTCCGCACCACACCATCATTTACCTGCCCGTTCTCTCCCTCCAGGGGGAAGCTTCGCAGCAGCATCCTTGAGCCCAGCAACAGCAGCGGCGGCAGCGGCAGGAGCGCCCTCTGAAGCCGTCAGCGCGGCTGCAAGGGCGGAGAGGGCTGATGACGCTGCTGGGCCGCACTGGGTGAATAAGGGATGGGGTTGGGGGGCAGCAAGAGGGTATGAAGGCTTAACAAAGCAGCAGCAGGAAGGGCGCCTGAAGTCATCAGCGCGGCTGAAAGGGCGGAGAGTGCCGCTGACACTGCTGGGCCGCACTGGGTGAAACGATAGGAGGAGAGGAGGGAAGGGAAAGCAGAGGGCAGGACAGGGGGTTATGGGAAGACACGTCATGGCAGCAGCAAGCGCGCCCTCTGAAGCCATAAGGGCGGAGAGATGCTGACATTGCTGGTTGGGGGCGGAGAGATGCTGACACTGCTGGTTGGGGGTGAGGGGAAGGGGAGTGGGAGGGAGGGAGAGGGGGAGGACAAGGGAGAAGCCGTGAGGGTGGCTGTGATGTGAGAGCGGAGATAGCTGCTGACACTGCTGGGTTGCACTGGGAGAAGCAGGAAGAGGGATATGAACAGGAGGGAGAGAGAGGGAGGAGGGGGAAGGAGTGAAACTAAAGATGGGAGAGAGGAAGCAAGGAGTTTGAGGGCTGCTGTTTGCCACACAGTCCTCTTTTTGAGACACCCTGTATATGAAGTGTCACGCAGCCCTCTTCCATCGTTTCAAAGCGCTTAAGGGAAATGAACTGCCACACAAACACGTGTAATGAGGTTATCTTTGAGGCGTCTAAAACAATAACCTCATTACACGCGGCTCCCATAGTTTCAAAGCGCTCAAGAGAAACGAACTGCCCACACAAACAACCCTCTTCCCCGCCTCAGCACTGCCGTTCAGGAGTTTCGGCTCAATCGTCCCGCCCCCCTCTTTTGAGACACCTCAAAATTAGCCCGCCTCAGCACCGCCACACAAATTAGCCCGCCTCAGCACCGCCACACAAATTAGCCCGCCTCAGCACCGCCACACAAATTAGCCCGCCTCAGCACCGCCACACAAATTAGCCCGCCTCAGCACCGCCACACAAATTAGCCCGCCTCAGCACCGCCACACAAATTAGCCCGCCTCAGCACCGCCACACAAATTAGCCCGCCTCAGCACCGCCACACAAATTAGCCCGCCTCAGCACCGCCACACAAATTAGCCCGCCTCAGCACCGCCACACAAATTAGCCCGCCTCAGCACCGCCACACAAATTAGCCCGCCTCAGCACCGCCACACAAATTAGCCCGCCTCAGCACCGCCACACAAATTAGCCCGCCTCAGCACCGCCACACAAATTAGCCCGCCTCAGCACCGCCACACAAATTAGCCCGCCTCAGCACCGCCACACAAATTAGCCCGCCTCAGCACCGCCACACAAATTAGCCCGCCTCAGCACCGCCACACAAATTAGCCCGCCTCAGCACCGCCACACAAATTAGCCCGCCTCAGCACCGCCACACAAATTAGCCCGCCTCAGCACCGCCACACAAATTAGCCCGCCTCAGCACCGCCACACAAATTAGCCCGCCTCAGCACCGCCACACAAATTAGCCCGCCTCAGCACCGCCACACAAATTAGCCCGCCTCAGCACCGCCACACAAATTAGCCCGCCTCAGCACCGCCACACAAATTAGCCCGCCTCAGCACCGCCACACAAATTAGCCCGCCTCAGCACCGCCACACAAATTAGCCCGCCTCAGCACCGCCACACAAATTAGCCCGCCTCAGCACCGCCACACAAATTAGCCCGCCTCAGCACCGCCACACAAATTAGCCCGCCTCAGCACCGCCACACAAATTAGCCCGCCTCAGCACCGCCACACAAATTAGCCCGCCTCAGCACCGCCACACAAATTAGCCCGCCTCAGCACCGCCACACAAATTAGCCCGCCTCAGCACCGCCACACAAATTAGCCCGCCTCAGCACCGCCACACAAATTAGCCCGCCTCAGCACCGCCATTAAGGGCCTTTCGGCTCAATCGCCCCCCTCTTTGCCACCCCCCTCCCCTACACCCCGCCATCCCCTTACCCCTCGCTATCCCACTCCCCTCCTCCCTCCAGCGAGCCTCCGCAGATACCAGCCGCAGTCAACGAGCTGCCAGCATGACTTTGTGTCGACTAAGTGCGTTGGGAATTCTCAAAAGACCGCCATCGCTGTTGGGAATCGACTTTTGAGTCGACTCTAAAGGAATTCTCAAAAGACCGCCAGCGCTGTTGAGGTGACTTTTGAGTCGACTCAAGAGTCCGCCAGGGCTGTTGAGAATTCTCTATAGGAAGCGATCCAGGGAGGTGAGGGAAGAGTCCGCAGATACCAGCCGCAGTCAACAAGCCGCCCCGCCAGCAAAAGGCAGGGCCAATCCTCGCCCTGTCTTTGGCACCCTCCTTCCCCCTCATCCTGACTTCTCTTCCCATTCCCCCACCTCCCATTCCCCCACCTCCCATTCCCCCACCTCCCATTCCCCCACCTCCCATTCCCCCACCTCCCATTCCCCCACCTCCCATTCCCCCACCTCCCATTCCCCCACCTCCCATTCCCCCACCTCCCATTCCCCCACCTCCCATTTCCCCACCTCCCATTCCCCCACCTCCCATTCCCCCACCTCCCATTTCCCCACCACCCGTCCCTCCTCCCTCCCTCCCCTCCGCCCCTCTTCCCTCTCCGGCCCCTGGTCGTTCCACCTCCCTTGCACCTCTGCTGACAAGATTTACACCCACCGCTCCTATCCCTCCTCCCCTGCCCCGCCCCTGTTCTCCCCCTCCCGCCACCCACGCACCTCTGCCAGCACATTTCCGTTGGTGAGATCAAATACTGCGTCCTCGAGCTGATGGGAAAGGGGGGGGGGAGGAGGGAGAGAAGGGGGAGAGGAGGGAGAGAAGGAGGGGAGGAGGGAGAGAAGGAGGGGAGGAGGGAGAGACGGAGGGAAGGAGAGAGAGAAGGAGGGGAGGGGGGCCGGGGAGGGGAGGAAGGAGAAAGGGAGGGGAGGACGGAGAGGGGGAGGGGAGGAGGGAGAAAGGGAGGGGAGGAGGGAGAAGGGAGGGGAGGAAGGAGAAAGGGAGGGGAGGAGGGAGAAAGGGAGGAGAGGAGGGAGAAAGGGAGGGGAGGAGGGAGAAAGGGAGGGGAGGAGGGAGAAAGGGAAGGGAGGAGGGAGAAAGGGAGGGGAGGAGGGAGAAAGGGAGGGGAGGAGGGAGAAAGGGAGGGGAGGAGGGAGAAAGGGAGGAGAGGAGGGAGAAAGGGAGGGGAGGAGGGAGAAAAGGTGACTCATTTGAGGCGGCACTTCCACTGGTAAGATCAAATACCGTGCCCTCGAGCTGATGGGAAAGCGGAGGGGAGCGGGTGAGGTGGGGGGGAAGAGAGGGGAGAGACGGGGCCAATGGGGGGAGGCGAGTGCATGGGGGGGAGATGAGACCATGGGGGCATGGGGGGAAGATGGGGGCATGGGGGTATGGAGGGGAGGTTGGGGCATAGGGGGAAGATGGGGGCATGAGGGGGAGATGGGGGCATGGGGGGAAGATGGGGGCATGAGGGGGAGATTGGGGCATGGGGGGAAGACGCATACTGATGACGTAGCTGATCTGCTCCCGTCTTCCCCCCTCCCCCACAACTCATCACCCTTTCCCCCGATTCACCCCACTTCTGTCCCCTCCGCCCTGCCCACTCCTCTGCACCTTCTCCCCACTTCTCCCCACCTGTGACTTTTCGTGACGATCTTCATCTTCACTTGTAGGTCCTCCCGCTACACTCACATTCACTTAAAAGCTCTCCCTCCCCCCCCCCCCCCTACACTCACATCCACTTGGAGGTCCCGAGGGAGCGAGGAGAAGAAGTCCGCGTCTAGGGACGCGAAGGAGGACTGGGGGAAGGGGGAAAAGTGGGGAAGGGAGGAAGGGGGAAGGAGGGGGGAGGGGGAAGCGAGGTCCTTAGGGAGCGAGGAGAAGAAGTCCGCATCTAGGGACGCGAGGGACGACTGGGGGAAGGGGGGAAAAGGGGAGAGGGAAATGGAGGGAGGGGGAAGCGGAGGGGGAGGGGGAAGGGTAGGGAGAGAGTTGCGCGGACAGGGGCTGAGGATAGGTAGGAGGTTGGTGGGACGCGAAGGACGGGTGGGGGGATTGGGGGGCCGCGGACGGCACGTGGGAGAACGGTGGAGATCGCGGGGGGGAGGAGGGCGCGGCTTAGAGGACGGGCGCGCGGGGAAGGGGAAGCGGAAGTGCACTTGATAGGGTTCCTCTCAACGTATTTGCCCAACCTGTTCCCCTGCGTCCATTTCCCTGCGCCTGGCCACCTGCGCCCGTTCCCCTGCGCCTGGCCACCTGCGCCCGTTCCCCTGCGCCTGACCACCTGCGCCCGTTCCCCTGCGCCTGCTCCGCGCGTACTCCGCGCCTAATCCTTGACTGTCCCCTTCGCCTCAGACCCACCTGTAGAGTTTTGAACGCAGCGCCTTCCGTGCTTGCCTGAGCTGGCAGCGACGCATCCGATTGGCTCGCGCTGCACCTGACGTCAGCACGGCGAAACCTGCCGCTAAATCCGTTCGAATCGATACAAAAAGCACGTCGAGATATACGCGGTAATAAATGAGCCGTTTGAATGCGGGCGCCATCACCACGAGCAATGACCCTTTTGCGCGCGGAAACGCAGGGTACGCCGCATGATGCGCCAAGTTTCGCACGCAGCGAAAGAGACAAATGCGGAGACATGGAGGAATAATTACTGCGAGTGAGGGATCGTAGTTAGGAAACAAGGTTCCGCACGGTGCTCAGGACAACGGTTATCTCGCCAAGATTTTATGAGCATGCGACTATTATGTCTGTGACACTTCAGGGAGGTCTCAGTACTGTGGGCTGCAGCCAAGCACCAAAATTTTACAGAATCTCCCAGTCTTCGAATGTTCCAATTGTGTCGTCCAAGTGTTCGATTTTGGAATTTTCGACACGCTGGATTCGGGGTAATACAGCGTGGATGTAACCCGCGAAACGTGTCTACGATTGGCTGCTTGCAGGAAGATTTGACTGTTCATACACACAGCACAGAAATGAAATATGAAACTCGTTAAGGGAAACCGCCAAGCAGCATATCATTTTCCTTGGTGTTTACTCTATATACTCATCTATATATCAGCACCCCCGTAAGAGTCAAGCATACCTCAATCTATTGGACGAAACTCATACCGAGGGCCATGGCAATCAAAGCCCCAATAGAAATATTAATCACATTCACAATGTCATTTGTCATCTGCACATCAAGTCACAAACAAGCAATCACACGAATTAACTTTGACCATTTAAGTGATGAGAAATACGCTTGAGAACCTGCTAAATAGATTGCTCAAAACCATATGCACCTCAACGAAAACGTGCATGCACTTACCCATTCGTAACCGGGTTTGTCTTGGAGTGTAGCCCCCAAGTAACTCTCTCCTAAATTGGCAATTTGCGAAGCCAGCACGCAGAAGAGAGCTCCAACAAGGCTCACCTTCAAGACATGCAAGAGGGTGAATGGGGCACAAGAATGCAAGACGCAGTGTGGAATGAGCTGTGAAGTCCATGCATGTCACAAATTGTAATGCCAGCATACAGAAGAGGGCTCCACCAGGGGTCACCATTGAGACTTGCGAAGAGACAGGGGGAGTGGAGGGAAGGGAGGAGAAGAGGGTGGAGCAGAACAATGGGTGGGAGCATCAATCTCGCACAGCAACAATGTGAGTTAATTTGGATACATAGTCTGCCTCATACATATGAATGCCCCTGTCTGCGTGCACGTATGGAGCAAGCGTGAGAAATCCCCTTCTTGAGACTCATTGGGCTCGCGAGCAGAGCAGCAGCGGACAGCACCACAGCAGTTGAATCTAGAAACGTCCCAACCATCGTAAGACACAGTATTGAAAAAAAATCTCAAAGGCGTCTTAAACCACAATCTTGAAATTCACCTGATTGGTGAGCAGAGCAGCAGCAGATAGCACCATAGCAGCCGCCAGACCTGCCAACGTTCCCTCAAGACTCACTGCGCCCTCTGTGCCCCTGGGAACTGGCTGGAAGGAAGTCACCAGGAAACTGCAAGGACATGGCCAGCCAGGGACACAAGAGGCTGATATAACTGCATGTAGCTACCACTTGTGCAATGTGCACTATAATCATCGCACTGTACATAATGGAACATTAACTGGGGCATACCACTGACCTGAGCACCATTGCACTTAACTAACACAATTTTATTGAAATGATCTATCTTCTCGGTAGTGATCATCATAGTTCCACTTGTTACACTCACGTGCGCTTGCCGAACGCCTTGCCGAACGCGCTCCCAGCAGTGTCCGACAATTTGGTAGCATAGCTGGCGACATACCCCAGCCGCCACACCAGCACACTAGGCAGCACCACCCCCAGTTCTACAGACATGACTTAGCTTCTCGGTATTGTTGTCACAGCTGTTCGCATGACGCACTCACGTGCGCTTGCCGAACGCCTTGCCAATCTCGCTGCCAGCAGTGTCCGACAGCTTGGTAGCAAAGCTGGCCACATACCCCAGCTGCCACACCGCCACACTCGGCAGCACCACCCCCTCCATCCCCCCTCCAGCTCCCCCTCCTGCAGCAGCAATGGCTCCCAGGCAGCACACCACCGCAGCAGCAGCTGATCCCACCACGCTCCACGGTCCCCTCCTGCCGCTACGCTTTTCCGCTATCCCCTCCTTCTGCTTCTGCTTCAGCTTCACCTTGGTTACCAGTGTTCCCTGGCAGCAGATACACAGGGGTTCGAATAAAGGAGAAGCAATTAGAAGGTGTGTTTAGTTCCTTTGATCCTCCTGCTGCTTCTGATGCAGCTTCACCTTGGTCACTGTGCCCTTGAGAATGAAAGGGGCTTAACCTAGATCTTTATAGAAAGCAAATAGCAGGGGCTTAACCTCCTTACAGTCACGTCATCTGAAGTATTACTCACGAGAATGAAGTACAGCCAGAGGATGAGGTAGCCTGGCCAGTAGAACGCCCTCCATACAGTCACACCGAGGAGAAACGCGGACAGCACCCCTGGCACGGTCAGCCCGGCGAGCAGTCCGGGCAGCAAGACGGCGAAATTTGTGGACGTGACAAGGACACCGGATTGCCACGTGGCAGGCTGGAGGAGAAAGGCATCAACGGTTGGCTGCACAAGGGTAGCGACAGAAGCGAGGAGTGCTGTAAAGTGGTCCATTTGAGATTTAGAATGGTTGGGTATAATAATATGCGAAACGTAGTTTAGGGACCCACCCCATGGAAACGATCATGCGAGTGACACTTCAGAGTGTGCGACTTCCGTTAAGTGTCAGCATAAATCACCCATTTTTACTCTCGACTGTTGCAACCAGCCGACTCCTCTAACAGCCGTTACCAAATAATCTCGACTTGATATGGCATCTGGCCCAAGGCGGTTCAAGGAAAGTCCCCACCAGAAGGTGTGCACTGTGGGTAGCCGGCCAACGTCAGTTTCCTCCCAAGCGTTTAGGAGCAACGAAGTGACGGCAACCCACCTCCAATGGGTGTTCAACTTCCGAATGCTCGACACGCTGGATTTGGGGTCTTACAGCGTGGATGCTCGCTAACTCGGTTAGCGATTGGCTGTGTTTGCATGAAGACCCGACAGCTATGAATAGGAAATAATTGAAATAGCAAGCAGCATACCCATTTCTTGGTGTCTATTCTACTGTGGAGACATCTAGAAGAAGGCACCTGGAGTGCATACATCAATCTATGGTGCGAAAATGGTGCCAAGGGCCATGGCTATCAAAGCCCCAGTACAAATATTGATGACATTCACAATGTCATTTGTCATCTGCACAAGAAGACACAATACAATCAATCAAGCACACAAATTAGCTTCGATACACCGTTCAAGAACTGAGAATCACCCTTGAGAACCTGAGCTGAAAAGAATGTTCAGAACCATACACATATCAACAATAATGTGTCTGCTGCACTTACCCATTCGTAACCGGGTTTGTCTTGGAGTGTAGCCCCCACATAACTCTCTCCAAAATTTGCAATTTGTGAAGCTAGTATGCAGAAGAGGGCTCCAACCAGGCTCACCTGCAATACATGCAATGGGGATTAATGGTGCACAATAAAGCGAGGTGCAGTGTGCAATAAGATAGGGTGCCGCAATTTCTCGGCTTACACGCCACAAATCGTGATGCCAGTGTGCAAAAGATTGCTCCAACAGAGGTCACCTTCAAAACATGCAAAGAGATGGCAGGAAGGGAGGGGGGGGAGAGGGGGGAGGAGAGGGGGTTGGAGGAGCTCAACAAAGGGGAGAACCAAACTTGTACGACAACATTGTCAGTTCATTTGGATGTATCATCTGCAACGTACATATAATGCTCCTGAGTGCGTGCATGTGTGCACGAACCTCAAACATCACCTTACACCACAATCTTGAGATTCACCTGATTGGTGAGCAGAGCAGCAGCGGACAGCACCACAGCAGCCGCCAGACCTGCCAACGTTCCCTCAAGACTCACTGCGCCCTCTGTGCCCCTGGGAACTGGCTGGAAGGAAGTCACCAGGAAACTGCAAAGTGCAGGGCCAGCCAGGGACACAAAAGGTTGACACTGAGTGCAAATAACACTGGCATCATCTGCGCCGTGTGCACAATAATCACTACACTGTATTTTTGGGGACACTATTTGGGGCATACCACAGACCTCAGCACCACAGTACTTACCGCCTGTTACGCACAGTACGCTAATTCGAGAAACATGAAATAGCTTCTCGATATCGTTTATCACCAATTCCTGTCATTACACTCACGTGCGCTTGCCGAATGCCTTGCCAATCTCACTTCCAGCAGTGTCCGACAGTTTGGTAGCAAAGCTGGCGACATAACCCAGCTGCCACACCGCCACACTCGGCAGCACCACCCCCTCCATCCCCACTCCAGCTCCCCCTCCTGCAGCAGCAATGGCTCCCAGGCAGCACAACACTGCAGCAGCTGCTGATCCCACCACGCTCCATGGCCCCCGCCGCCCGCTCCGCTTCTCTGCTATCCCCTCCTGCTGCTTCTGCTTCAGCTTCACCTTGGTTACCAGTGTTCCCTGGGAGCAGGAAAACAGGGTTTGAGAATATGAGAGGCAGTGAAAAGCGGAGCTTTGTCCCTTTATGACAATCCTGCTGCTTCTGGTGCAGCTTCAGTTTGGTTACCACTGTGTCCTGGGAGCAGAAAACCAGGGGTTCGAGACAAGGAGCGGCAGCGGGAAGAGGCGTTTTGCTCCTTCAAGTCCATCCTGCAACGTTACCCTGGTCGCTGTGCTCTTGAGGAAAAGGAAAATTAATGGATATGTACAGAAAAAGAAATAGCAGCAGCATAACCTCCATACAGTCACAATATCTCAAGTCAAACGCACGAGAATGAAGTACAGGCAGACGATGAGGAAGCCCGGCCAGTAGAACGCCCTCCATACAGTCACACCCAGGAGAAACGCGGACATCACCCCTGGCACGGTCAGCCCGGCGAGCAGTCCGGGCAGCCCGACTGCGAAAATTGTGGACGTGACAAGGAGAGCGGATTGCCACGTGGCAGGCAGGAGGAGGAAGGCATCTACAATTGGCTGCACAGCGGTGGCGACAGAAGCGGGGATTGCTGTAGCGCGTACGGATAGGCGATTTTTGGAAAGCCGCGTGTGAGACCAATGGGGAGACGAAGACGAGGGATGTGAGTGGGAGAGAGAGGTGGAGAACGAAGGAGAGGCGAAGGAAGAGGAGAGCACGACCCGCGACTGACGGTGTTGCTTCAGGCTGAGAGCGACACGTGCACAGGAGGACGCGATTGACGGCGCTACCGACTGCGCATGAAGTGCGACGGGTCTAGGAGAAAACGCTAGGGTGGCGGAGCCGCGGGAAGCGCTGGCGGAGGAAACAGTCTGGACATTGGGTAAGGTTCCAGGTCGCTGCATCATCGCCGTCACCATGGTGACGTCAGCCCGTTAAGCGCACCAGAGTGGCTGGTGTAATATGGTTAGCCGATATTGATTCTCTAGCTGGTAGCTGGTGAAATTAGCTTTGCCAGAAACGACAGGCTTTGGGGAGTACTGGGACTGGGGGCTAAGTTTGATAGAAATTGGCGAACCAGCGGGAATATCGTAAAGGAAGGAGAAAGGCGTGACTGTGGCAGCGGGGTTGTCGAGAAGTGTATTGCAGCGAAAGTGACAACAGCGAAGGGAAAACGCAACGGAGAAACTGCAGCCTCGACAGCTTCTCTGACGGAACGGAAAAACCAAGAAGCTGAAAGAAACCGAAACAAATGTCACCAGCTCCGCGTACCGCGTCCTGAGGGCCTGGGAGTTTCTGGTCAGTGGACACCTGTCAGCCTTTCGCACACCTTACGGCGCCTCGAAGTTGTCATGCTTCAGTGAGCAGCTGAAGACGAAGCTGACGGAAGAGTAAATCGATATAGATTGCTTCGCTGAGATGTCCTTTTAGGGGAGAAACAATCAAGCACTGTAAGATTAATATAACTGTATTCTGGACAGGAGTAGGCCACACAGTTCGTTTTCTTGATTGGGCAGACTAGTCGTGCCAAGTCAACAAAACTACTCGGAGGAAGCCAATGATATCGTTCGTAAGACCGTCATTCGCGCCGTCGACTGCTGCCAACTCAACCCGGTGGCACCTTTCCGAGCTGGACTCGGATCTGGAAGCCGCTTTTGCTTTGGAGGAGCTCAGCAGCAGCAAGCCGCGTATTTCGCACGCGACTCGGTCATGCCAAGCTCGCAGCGGCTCGATGCTGAGAATTCCCGCTGGGTACAAATGTGGCAAGATTTTGCCATTCAGAGCATCATCAGAGGTGACCAAGATATCTCGTTGCTGCTCGCTCATCCAGCCATCAGACCATTCAAGAAGCGCCTTTTCAACAACAACTTCATAAAAGCTATCATGGCTCGTCTTCAGCTACTAATTATATCCTCTCTACTTCTGCTGACGCTGTCAGCTGCAACTGATGACTTCTTCCCGACTGGCGTTGCAAGGCCTGCAACGTACAACCCTGGCAACAGGGCCACCAACGCACTTATTGACGCCCTTGAGGACGACTACTCAGCTTTTCTCTTCTTCTTCAAGCGCGCAGGTAATAAATTTCTCGCGCACACGTAACATCTACACGATTTTCCTACGTGACTCCTCTTTCTCTCTCGAAAGGTCTTGTTCATTATGCATATAAACTTTCTGAAACATATGGTCTTTATTTCAGGTTTGGACAAGGAGTTTCCGGACTTGCTGTGCAAGTACACGGTGACCATATTCGCGCCGACGAACGAGGCGTTCAAGTCGCTCGACAGCGACCTGAAGAAGAAGGTGAAGGAGGACAAGCTGCTGCTGCGGGAGCTCATGCTGCTGCATGTCGTCAAGGGCAAGAAGACATTCGCACGCCTCCTCGAGCAGGAACAAGGCCATCAAGTAAGAAAAGCTGCACCTGATAAACTCTCTCTGCGTTCTTTGGCTGTCAAAAACCGCCTTCTTCTAATTTATTGTTATATTTTAAAAAAACGTGCATTTATTTCCTACTGATGATTTTTTGTTACCTTTTCTGCCAGTATGAGTCCCCTGCTGCTCGCGGCCAAGCCAAGCTGGCCAAGCGCAGCGAGGAAGACGACAAGCCGTTCATCATCTCGACCAGGCAGGGTAAGAACACAGCGACTGTTGTTGACGAAGACGTGTTCGTGAGCAAGAACTTGTCAGTGCAGGGGATAGACGAAGTCATCCTGCCACGCAAGCTGCACACGCCCCATAAGTTCGAGACTCTTGTCGAGTGCATGAATAATGTGAAGTGAAGAGGGAGCTTGGCCAATGCACCCCAAGTAGCGCAGGCAAGACAGGGACAAGCATCGTAGGGTGCATAATAAGAGAAAAACATGTCATCGTATGGTGTTTATCTAGGTAGGGCGGGTAGGGGAAGGGAAGGGGAGGGAGGAGGGGTTGGATGGGGGTTTGGAGGATGAGTGAAGTGACGTGGGTGAATTGGGCTTTAGGGTAGTATGCCTGCTTATATTATGTTATGCTTCCTAATGAGTTGCTCGGTTTGATGGTATGCTTGTGAGGGCGTAGTTTTGTATATAGCAATAATAATTGGGGTGCTGCATGTTTTACGGAAAATCTCCATCAAAAAATGGTACTCGCATGAAATGTACCAGTTCATTTACCAGTTCATTGAAGTCAAGTTAGAAAGGTATTCCAAGAGGGAAAGAATTCATATTTCCAAGGAATAATCACAAACATTGGAAGTGTACACAACACTGCGTCTGAATAGAAACGTATCGCATACTGATGAACTGAATGCATCAGCCACGCTCTTGGGGTTCCTTCGATATTATCTATCCTCCATTGGTTTGCGAAGTCTATTGCGAAATATCACACGGGTCGCACGTGCCACTGATCGGCGCGACTCGCGAACACACAACTCTCTTCCTGCGGCCCAATGGCCTCCGTAACCCTAACGACCACTGCGACGACGATGCGACACAGAGCGATATCGTCGGTACCGCATTGTTACGAATCGCATGCACAGGGCACGTCGAGCCGCTCCGCGTGCGCCTATCAGTCGCTTCCACGACAGCTCCGTCCATTCACGCATGGCGTCGTCAGCTCTCGAACCCTCCCTAGAGAAAACCTTCCGGTTCCAAGGCTAGTCGTTACAGCAGCCGTGGCAGCCGACAGGCTCGGCCCGGACGTGGACGAGGAGGCTCGGAGTGAGGTTCGGCGGCGGCAGGCTCGGCTGCTGTGGAACGTGGACGGTACGGAACGCGGCGCGAAGGCGGACTCAGAAAGGCGCGGCGAGATCGAGGAGGCGGTCGTTGACTTGGAACGACTTGGCGGGACTCCGTTGACCTCGGGATTGGATCGGCTGGACGGATGGTGGGAGCTCAAGTACAGTACCGCTGCTGACGTCACCGGCATTCTCATGGCTCCGTCGTCGTTTCCGCTGCCCATTCTACAGGTGCGGCTCCGTGCTCTCTGTTTTTGGGTTACATGACTCAATACCCCAAATGTCTCTCCCATTGTCACCCCCAAAACCACTCCACCCTCGCCCCCGCCTTCCCCTTCCCCCCTCCCGCCCTCTCCGACACTGCCTCCTCGCCTTTCTCTGCGCCCTTCCCCCCTTTCCCCCTCTCTCCCCCACACTGTCCTGATGGGGAAGGATTGAGTCCTGCAGCACTGAATCCCCCTTTTTCTCTTCCCTTACCCACGTGTACCTTAGCTTCTAGCACTGTCACCTCCCTCCTTCACCTCCCTCCCACGTGTACCTATCTTCTAGCACTGTCACCTCCCTCCTTCGCCTAACCCCCCTCGGTCCACCTGAGCCATATCTTCCACTGATACAACTCCCTTTCGCAATCCTACCTTACATTTCCAAGTGGGTCGTGTCCTGAACTGCTACATCTTCCTCCCCCCATATCTTCCCATTCTTCTCCTCCCCTTCGCGGCCCCTTCCTTGCATGTCCAGGTGTGCTGTATTTTCCAGCGCAACATCCCCCTCCCCCCTCTTTCCCCACCACTTCTCTCCTCCATCCCCTCCCCATTCCTTGCACGTCCAGGTGGGTCATGTCTTCCAGGACTAATCTTTCCCTTCTTTCCTCCCAACTCTCTCCCCTTTCCCGCTTTGAGACGTCTCTACTCTCTTCCCCTTCCCGTCCCCCTTCCTTACATGTCCAGGTGGGTCGTATCTTCCAGCGCTACATCTGTGCCGGGAGAACAGACGGAGGCACGGTGCAGAACGTGGTTCGGTGGAGCCTGCCGGGCCTGCAGGTATGGCAGTGAGGTATGGGTTTGGTATGGTAGGTGCAGGTATGGTAACAAGTTTTTCATGCAGTAGTACCTGTCAGCACCGCCAGTTCCCAAGGTATCAATTCTTCCTTCGGACTTTTATCTGAATTCTTCGTTTTCAGTCTTCCCATGCTTTCGATTTACCTTTCCCTTCCCTTCTCTCCTTTCATTCCTCTCGCGTTCTCCCCATCCTCTCCCCTCCCCGTCACAGGACAAGGAGGGCGCGTCGCTGATAGTGACGGCGCAGTGGTCGGGCCATCCCTTACCCCCCCTCCCCCTTCTTCCCCACTCCCTTCCCATCACAGGACAAGGAGGGCGCGTCGCTGATAGTGACGGCGGAGTTTGATGTGCGCAGCGGCCGTTCCATCCAGCTGCAGTTCGAGCGGGCGGCGGTGGGCGGCGTGAAGATCAACGAGCAGCTGCAGGCTCTGCTGGCGCCGGCTGCCCTGCCACGCACGCAGTTGTCACTAGATGTGAGAGACACGTGTATACATGCAGACAAGCATTCACATGGACAGAATGCATGCATGCATGCATGCAGACATACAGACATACATGCAGTTGCAGGCACTGTTGGTGCCGGCTGCTCTTCCCCCCACCCAGTTGTCTCTAGACGTGAGCGACACATGCATCCATGCATACATGCAGACGTGCAGATATACATGGATACATGCAGACATGCAGACATCCAGACATGCAGACATACATGCATACATGCAGACATGCAGACATACATGCATACATGCAGACATACATGCATACACGCATACATGGAGACATTCATGCATACATACATGCATACACGCATATATGCATTCATGCATACATGCACATTTGCAGACTTGCACTCAGTGGTCACTATACGTCAGACGCACAAGCATACATGCACTCTATTGTGACTAGATGTGCAACATATATGCAAATAGATATGCATAGATGGACAAGGCATGGGGCCAGAGTTGCCGTTGTGTGACACCATGCTCCCATGCCTTGCTCGCAGGTGTATCAATTTCTCTGTTCCATATTTCGCACGGTGTATTGTGTGTGTTACAGGCGCTGCAGTTCTTCCGTTCCTTGGAGCTGTCAGTGCCTCTTGGCTCCCCTCTTCGCTCCACCACAGAAGTATTGTCAAGGTACACCTTATACCAGTTTTAATTCATTTGCAACACAAAACAGGTGGTCTTTATAATGCTCATGCGCATGTCGCATGCCCATCCTCATCATTCTCGTATCCACCCACACATGCGCGGCTGCATTACCTTCAAGTCCTTCGAATGGCAGGTTGCTGCTAACGGGCTCAATTTGGTTTTGCACTTTCATGCGATGCCTGTTTCAGCTCCATTCCCGCCAATCGCTTCATGATTACGTTTCTAGACGAGCGCATTTTGGTTGGCCGAGCTGTTGCTACAGGAGGTGTGTTCATTTTCGAGAAGTCGGAGGAACCGTTGTGAGCTGGGACTGGGTTGGGTGCTTGGTGTCGGACTATCCAATCTGTGAAAGCATTACCTGAGGAGTTGCACGTATGTTTATAGATAGTGCCGTATCTATGATCGATATAGGTAGGATCTATCAATCTATCAAAATGCTGTCTTGTACCGTGTATCAACATATGCCTTGATGCATCATCATCACCATCGTAATATAAGACTCGTTTCGGTCGGCTGCTGGTCTCTTTCACCCTGCAAAGCGACGCCGAAATCGTTAAGACCAAGGAAGTGCTGTACCAGAGGATCATGGAGGCGTGTTGGTGAAACTTCACTGGCAGCACACTGAAAACCTGGATTACCTGCGGGAGAAAGCGCTGAACCCGCATGCAGTTGAAGTCGTTCTTCACGGGGTGTCCGCCGTTGTTGTGCTGGACCGGATCGAAGCCAGGCTCGTCAAGTACAAGCTGTCAAGCCGGAAACATCCTGTTTCAAGAGTTGTTCCTGCCTCCACCGCGTTCTGTCAAACCATATCTGAGCTAGTTGTGTGTAGGCTATAGTGGGATAGCCCATGTACGGTACAACCGAATATTAGGGTTAGTACTTGTACCCACAATTCATTCAATGCAATCATTCCTGCTTGCTATCTTGACATGGTTTCAGAGCAGTAGGTCCGTAGGACCGTTTTTTTTTCCGGGCCCACCATACTTAGCGACCGACTGCGGTTACCGCGTTACCCCAATACCCTGCATCGCACTGCCCCGCGTCGCGCTGCTCTGCGCACGCCCTGCCCTGCCCTGCGCCGGCGCCCTGCCCTGCGCCAGCGCCCTGCCCTGCGCCAGCGCCCTGCCCTGCGCCAGCGCCCTGCCCTACGCCAGCGCCCTGCCCTGCGCCTGCGCCAGCGCCCTGCCCTGCGCCTGCGCCAGCGCCCTGCCCTGCGCCAGCGCCCTGCCCTGCGCCTGCGCCCTGCCCTACGCCCGCGCTGCTGCCCTGCACGTCGCGCCCGACGACAGCCCGCGCATCGCACGCTGCTGCCCTGCGCGTCGCGCCCTACGGCAGCCCGCGAGTTGCGTGCTGCTGCCCCGCACGTTGCGCCCTACGGCAGCCCGCGAGTCGCGCGCTGCTGCCCGCGAGTCGCGCGCTGCTGCCCTGCGTCGCGCTCTGCTGCAGCCCGTGCGTCGCGCCCTGCTGCAACATGCGCGTCGCGCCCTGCTGCCCTGCACAAAGCACGCCCTGCTGCCCGCGCCGCCCAGGCCGTGCCGAGCCGCCCTACCCGACCCGATCCGCCCTGCTGCTCGTGCTACTGCTGCTGCTGGTGGAGGTGCTGCTAGGAGTGCTGGAGGTGATGCAGCCCAGCTTCATCGAGCCGCTCTGCTGCTCTTACTGCTGCTGCTACTCCTCGTGCTACTGTCTTCACTCCGTCCTGCCCTAGAGGTCGCGCTCCTCCTAGCTTGCCGCCATGACTTCACTTTGTAGTAGTGGTGGGAGTGGTGACGGCGGTGGTGGCAGCAGTGGGAGTGGTGGCGGCCGTAGTAGCAGTCACTATGGCGCTGTTTGGTGCGGAGTTTCTGGCGGTGGCCAGATGCAACTACGGCGGCGTCCGACCCTTACGCCCCAGCACCTTCGTAAGTGGCTTTACCAGCGTGGGACGTCTCCGAGTCCTGGTCGCTGCCTGTACGTCATTCGTACAGGTCGTCGAGCTGGTTAGACCTGTGGGACACCTGGTCACGCACAGTCCCGCTGCTTCACCTATTTGAGTGTCGCCTGGCACGCAGCGTTTGGCGACGAGGCTGGGATCCCCCACTGGCTTGAGCTGCTTAGGTCGGGCGTTGATGTCTCTGCTTTAGACTATGATGCCATCCTTACTGCTATGTATGCTTTCCCTGGTGGTGCTGAGGGTGGCTGTTACCTGTGTGTGCAGTACGACCCCGGTATAGAGGTTGCTGCTCTAGGTGCTAGTGAGGCTGCTGCCTTAGGTGCTAGCGAGTGTGCTCTCTCAGGTACTGTGCCTGCTGAGGCCTTGCACACCTTCACGCTTGACTCAGGTGCTTATCGCTATTTCTTTCGCGACAGTACCGCACTCACGCCACTCCCTACACCTGTTGCACTGTCTTTGGCTGACCCCGCAGGGGGCCCAGTTCTTGCACGGTCCACCACTGTGCTTTCGTGCCCGGCGGTTTTGTCTGGCTCACTGTCAGGTCTTCACCTCCCCTCGTTCTCTACGAACCTGGCGAGCAACGCAGTCCTCCAGGATGCATGGGATGATACCTTTACCCATGGAGGACAGCGTGTGGCGATCTGTACGTGCTCCCGGACTGGCCGTCACCTGGCCATGTGCATCCGTCGGCCAGGGTCAAGTCTTTACACACTGACTACTGCGTCCCCTCAAGTAGCTGCTATTGGTAAGGTGCATGTGTCAGGTCAGGTAGCCTCCCCTTGTTCATGTCGCTCCCTGTCGCACCAGACTCTTCTCTGGCACCACCGCCTGGGTCACCCCTCCTTGCCATGTCTCCGTGGCATGCATTGTCGCCTCCTAGTGTCTGGTCTTCCCAGGTCTCTCCCTCCCATCCCTGCCTCCCTTGCGCCGCCCTGCCTTCCTTGTGTCGAGGGGCGGCAGCGCGCCGCTCCTCACTCCTCCTCGTTTCCCCCGACAGAGGCTCCTCTGCAGACCCTCCAACTGGACGTGTGGGGCCCAGCCCGCGTTAGTGGACAGGGCGGTGAGCGGTACTTTCTGCTGGTTGTCGACGACTACTCGCGTTACACCACGGTCTTCCCCTCGCGGACCAAGGGTGAGGTCCCTGCTGTTATGATCCATTGGATCCGAGCAGTTCGTCTTCAGCTCCGCCGCTTGCGGTCGTTTGCGGTCCGGCACGCCGCGCAGCAGCTCAACCTCTGGCCGCGTGTCTCCTTGCCGGAGACCTCGCCCAAACTGCGTTGGATGGGAGAGGTTGGCGATGCGTCACGTTTCCGGGTCTGTGGTGCTCGTGCCCTTGTCCGCGATACGTCCGCGGACAAGCTCTCCTCCCGCACCATTCCTTGTGTCTTCCTTGGCTTGGTCCCTGACGCACCTGGCTGGCAGTTTTACCACCCCACCTCGCGCCGTGTCTTCCCCTCTCAGGACGTCACCTTTGACAAGTCGGTTCCTTTCTACCATCTCTTCCCCTACCGCACTGCCCCCCTCCCTCCCCCGCCGATTTTCCTCGCTCCAGGTCCCCATCCAGTAGACCCCCTCAGGGTCCTGCTCCTTCAGGTGTGTCTCAGGTAGACCCCTCCCCTTGGCTGAGCCTGTAGAGGTCACTAGAGATTCAGGTGTTGCTGCGGGTGGTGCTGCTCGAGGTACTGCGTCGAGCCTGTGCGTGAGGCGCTGGGGGGTGCGGAGGTTGGGGGTGCTGAGCCTGCGAGTGCGGAGCCTGGGGTTGCTGAGCCTACGAGTGCGGAGCATGGGGGTGCTGAGCCGGAGGGTGCCGGGTCTGGGGGTGCTGAGTATGGGGGTCTCTTTTCACGACGAGGGCCTCTCTCACCACAGCAGCTACAAGAGTGGCTTGCGTGGCGTACCCGCCTGCGGAGTCATGCTGCTGGAGCTGGAGGTCCTGCTACTAGAGGTAGTGCAGCTTGAGGTGCTGCGTTTGGAGCTGCTGGAGCTGCTCGTCATGGAGGCGCTGGGAGTGCTGGTGTTTCTGGTTCTGGAGGTGCTCGTACTGGAGGTACTGGAGCTGCCAGGACGGGTGGTGCTGCTGGAGCTGGAGGTGCTGTTACTGCTGGCGCTGAGGGTCCTGGAGGTACTCGAGCTACCGGGGTCCGTGGTACTGGAGGCACTGGAGCTGGAGACCCGCGCGTTGGAGTTCGAGACCTTGGAGCTGGAGGTGCTGGCCCCAGGGGTACGGAGTCTGTTGGTGCTGAGCCTAGGGGTGCTGAGTCTGCTGGAGGTCCTCTTGGTGCCGCGTCGCAGCGGTCACCTCTCTCGCCGCAGCAGCTGCGCGAGTGGCTTGCTTTGCGCACCCGCCTTCGGAGTCGCGCTACTGGAGCTGGAGGCACTACTGCTGGAGGCGCTGGAGCTAGGGTCCCTGGAGCTGGAAGTGCCGGTTCTGGGGGTGCTGCTGCTGGGGGCACTGGAGCTGGTTACCCTGGAGCTGGTGCTGTCGACCCTGGAGTTAGAGACCCTAGAGCTAGAGGTGCTGGTTCTGGGGTTGCTGCTGCTGGAGGCACTAGAGCTGGAGGCCCTGGAGCTGGTCCTGTCGAACCTAGAGTAGGAGACCCTGGAGCTGGAGGTGCCGGTTTCGGGGGTGCTACTGCTAGAGGCCCTGAAGCTGGAGGTTTTAGAGCAGCTGGAGGCGCTGGAGCTGCTGGTGCTCGTCCTGGAGGTGCTGGAGCTGCCGGAGCTTGTGGTGCTGCGGGGAGCTGGAGGCGCTGGCGCTGGAAACGCTAGCGCTGGAGGCGTTGGAGATGGAGGCGCTGGCGCTGGAGGCGCTGGAGCTGGAGGTGCTGGAGCTAGAGGTACTGGAGCTGGAGGTGCTGGAGCTAGAGGCATTAGAGCTGGAGAATATGGAGCTGCTGGAGGCGCTGGAGCTGCTGGTACTCGTACCGGAGGTGCTGGTGCTGGTGGTACTAGTGCTGGTGGTACTGCACAGCCGCAACTGTTCCTCGCTCCGCGCCTGACTCCCCGCTTCGCTATGTTCTTAGCTTCCCGTCTTCCACTGGTCTCCCGTTACAGCCAGGCTCTCCACTGCCTGCTCCTTCTCCTTACGCTGAGCAGACAGACTTGCTTACAGAGTGTCGTGAGCCTGCGTCTCGTCCTGCCTCGCCTGTTCGCGTGCGTCGCATTGGTAGTCGTGTTCCTCGTGAGCGTCCGCCTCCTGTCCCTGGCACGCACGCTATGGCACTTCGTCCTTCATCTGTTCCACAGCATGTTCCCCTGCTGTCTCCTCCTTCGTCTTCTCTGCCTGACGTTGAGGAGCCTGAGTCTGACCTGATTCGTGCTGCTCACCCTACTGTCACGCATCTGCTAGCCACAGTCGTCACTGATCCGT